TTCATCGCCAATCATATGCGAGGGCGGTGTACTCACTAGGCCACGGCGTATTGCCTGGGCCAAAACTTCACTATTAGGCGGTAAGACATGATCCATTCTCACTAATGGCAAAAGGTCTGAGAGTATTTCTCTTAGTTCCACATCACTTAGATCGCGTTTCTTGACACCTTTTCTTGTTACCGAATGGGCAGTGTGCGATAAAAGATTCGGTTCTCGATCTTCCATGCGCCGTATGAGCTCCTGTTCTCCCCATTTGAGTACAGCCTGTAGAACTTCCAATTCGGAAGCTTGTAAAAAATTCGATTGCAAAACGTGTATAAGTTGCGATTTATCGAGTTGATGCAAAACAGGTGATGAGATGACTGCAGAGAATTCTTCGCGTAAATATTGGCAAGCTTGGCGGAAAACCCACGCAGAACCGTGGGGCTAAAGATAAAGTTGAATTCAAATTAATCTAAATATAATATTTTGCCTGTTAAAAAGCTTTTTACTAAAATAAAATGTTTTTAATCAAAAGACTGTTTAATGAGCTTTTTTCAGTTGAAAAGTTTTTAAAAAAAGCTTTTTCAAAAAACTTTGAACAAAAAGCTTTTTGAATACAACTTAAAAACAAATTTTTAATAAAAAGCTTTTTAAATAAAAGCTTTTAATAAGAAAGCATTTTCAATAAAAAGCTTTTTTAATAGAAAGCTTTTAATAAAAAAAGCATTTTTAATAGAAATCTTTCTAATAATAACTTTTTTAATAAAAAGATTTTTAATAATAGCTTTTCAATAAAAAGCTTTTTAACAATATCTTTTTCAATAAAAAGCTTTTTGCATAAAAGCATTTTCAATAAAAAGCTTTTTGCTTAAAAGCATTTTCAATAAAAAGCTTTATAAATTTTCTTTCTACAAACATTTAATAATAAAAAAATATAAATTTACCTGACTCCCCCACTTGAGCACCGTTGGCAGAGTGTCTAAGGTCAGCCACTCCAATATGAGATCCTCGCAACCTTGTGCTAAAATATCCAATTCTAAAAATCTACCAATTTGATATAGTTCCATGGCTTCCTCGAGCGGTGTTGGTCGTGTTCGACCCGCCGTCAAGGCATGAACTTCACCCAGCGAACCAGCCGCTGCTGTTCCCGAATTTGCTCCCCTTAAAATTAATGTTAAGTCTACGGTATCCAAGTAAATGGCATGTAAAAGAACACGAGCATAACGTTTTGGTATCACGGTTTCATCCAACACAATACGCGTCGGCACATGCAGAGCACGCTCTGCATATTCAGCATCCATATTACGTGTTCGTCTAGCTATGAGATTACGAAAGAAAGGCGATCGCGCGCTTAAAATCGCTTTGTGGCAAGGTAATTCCAGTTTCGGTCGGAAGCCGTATTCTGAATTCCCCGAATCGGGACGATTGTATTCGCCACCCAAACCCACTACGCCCATGGCTGAAGAGCCACTATACCGCCTCCTCCACCGCCACCATTCTCGGAGGTAAACACCAAAGCAGCATCGGCATAATCTCCCGTTTCGAGCAGATAACGCAAATCATGTTCGAGAGGATTGGGCGTACCGAAATCATCGCCTAGTTGACGCAACAGACCAATATCCATGCTGGCATCATGGGGACATAGATCGCCGGTATAGAGATATCTTAGTAGGGAGGCAAACATTTGAACATCTATGGGTGAGGTGGGTAGCTCGAGACAAATACGAGCTCCAAAGCCGGGGCAACCGGCTAAAAGATCACGAAAATAAGTGCAACGTGAGGAGAGTATACAGCGGTGCACGGGAAATATGGCGCCACGGAAGACGAGATCACAGTCTGTACAAGTCTTCGTTTCAAAAAGAGCAGCAAGATCTTGTTTATAAGTGGTAGCGGGAGGACGTGCCAGCTCGGCTTGCATCTAAGAGAGTTAAAAGTTTAGGACGTTTAAAATTAAAAAAATCATTCAAGAAATATTTCTCCACTTACCGATAAATCCCTTAGTGCTGCCAAAGCTTCATATTCTTCACACAATGCTGCCAGCTCTAAAGGAGTCCAATCCGAAACAAAATCTCTCAGCACTCTAGCATGATCACAGGCTTTTGAAGAACGCCGTCGTCTTATGAATTTACGTTTAAGGGTGGCAAAACCCGTAGTAACACGTTTACGTCGTTGTTCCCGAAAATGGGGACCACCACCACCAGGACCCCCCTAGCGAAGCGGACAGTAATGAATTGGCCCCTGTGGTAGGTAGTAATAAACTTGAACTAGTACTTGCACCCGCTGGCATACCACCACTACCACCGCCGCCAGATGAATGACCTTGTGATGTTGTCATTACAGGCGGATAACTACCAGTCGATGCATTGGCACCCATTGTAAATGTGTTTGTTGTTGTTGTTGGCTATTTTGTTTTTGTGGTTGAGGGGGCAAATGACGACAACACCATGCAGTTAGCAAGAGATTAGAAAACCTTATGACGTAGTTTGTGTTTTTATGCTGTTTGTTTGTAGCAAACGCGGTTTCTAATCTCTACACTCTCTTTGCTTGGTTTTTAAAGTTTTTAATCAAAACATTTTTCTTTATTTTAAGTTTGTGTAAATTTAATTTTAAACATAAATTGTGATTTACTGAGAGAAGGATTTGTCACAACTATGAGAAAAGCATAATAGTGATTTTTCTCGTTTTATTTGGGAGATTTTTTTAGTCTGGAAAGAAAAGAAAAAAGAAATAAAATTATTTTTAATCGATTTTTTTATCTTCTGTTGCAAATAGCCCTTTCTCACTAAAGCATAGCCCTTTCTGCTAAAGTAGTTTCACTTAAAAGCTTTCTCGTTAAAGGTTATACTTTTTCCGAAATGAAAATAGTGTTTTTTTAATTAAGAGTTTTTCAAAAATTTTTAATAAAACTCTCTTCACTCAAAAATTGAATTAAAATCTCTTTTAAATAAAATGATTATTAAAAAACACTTTTACTTAAAAGCTTTTTTTTGTTAAAATGCTTTTTACTATAAAGCTTTTTATTCAAACGTATTATTATTAAAATGTTTTCTTTTTAAATCTAAAGCTTTTTTATTCAAACGTATTATTATTAAAATGTTTTCTTTTAAATCTATAGCTTTTTTATTAAAAAACTCTTTTACTAAAAACTAATTTAAAAAATTATATGTTTTAATAAAAAGCATTTTTAAAAGCTCTATAATAAAATTTTCGCTAAAAAGTTCTACAAAACGTTTTTATGCTAAAACGTTCTGCAAAGCTTTTTTCACTAAAAGACTCCAAAAAAGCTTTTTTATTAAAAACCATTTAAAAGCTTTTTTAAACTAATAACAAACGTTTTTAATGCTCTTCAATGAGCTTTATATACTAAAAAAACTGTTCAGTAAAGTGTTTTTTAACTAAAAAGCTCTTCTCAATAAAAAGCTTTTCAGTGGAAGAGCTTTTGTAAAATTTTCTAATAAAACAACTTATTGCTTTTTTGTGAAAAGCTTTTTAAGTAAGAACTTCATTATAGAGCTTTTTCACTAAAAAGTTCCACTAAAACGTTAAACTAAAAAAACTACAAAAAGCTGTCCAATAAACGATTTAAAAGCAGTAAAAAATATTAGTTTAATAAAAGCTTTTACTGAAAAAAGTTCCACAAAGTTTTTTCCATTAAAAACTATTCAAAAGCTTACCAAAATAATGCTATTAATATCTACCAAAAAGCTGTTCAATTAACGTCGTAATATGATTTTTTCAAAGAAGATTTTTAAAATAAATAAAAAAAATCAATCAAAACCACTAAAATATGTTTTAGTAAAAAATTTAATAAAAAGCTCTAAAATATGATTTCTTTGGGAATTTTGACAACAAAAAAAAAAACATTCACTAAAACGGTATTTTAATAAAATGCTTATTTCAAGCTTTTTTAACTACGGAATATTGTTCACAAAAAATATTTTATCACTTTAAAGCTTTTTGTCACTGAAAGAAGTTTTTTCAAAAATAAGTTTAAATGTAGTTATTTTTAGTTTTTAATGTATTCTCCTAAATTTAAATACAATTTATAAATATTTAAACAAATGACAAAATTTATTAATGTAAAGCTTTAAAATTTAAAACTTAAATTCTATTTTACAAATTTTATAATAAAATCTAATGTCCCAAAAATTATACATTATATATTTTTAATTAAATTTCCATTTAAATTTAAATAAAAATAACTAAACTAATTTCTAAACTATAATTTAATTTGAAATTATTCTACAAAAAGAAAACACACACACCACACAAATAATATAGTGACAGTATGTATAAACCACCTGTCAAAGTTACATTATATTACCCAAAATAACACTAGACATACAAACGCTCGCACACACTCTGTATCACAGATACATATTTCCAATTTAAACATTTATTTTAATAAATTTTCCCTTTAATCCAATATGTACATACATACTACATATGTATATATGTATGTGTGTAAATGCAAACAAACTAACAAACAATCTACAAAATTTAATATTCATATCTACGACATTGTTATTTTTTTAAAGAATAATACAACACAGAATAGAACTGTATAAATAAAATAAAACAAATTTCATTTTAAAGTTTTGAAATGTAAAGCAACAACAAAAACCTTTAAAAATAAAACAAAAACAAGATAAAAAGAAATTAAAACAAAACCAATGACATTATTTATAATATCCATTTAACCTTGACCCACTCAACAAACTTTTCCAAACAACATACACACACGCACAGAAAGAAAGAAACACATTTGTTGTGTGTTCTACCAGAGAAGTAGTGGAACCAACAACAACAACAAAAAACAGAGTGAATGGCTGAAAGACAAACCGACGTAACAGCAGAAGAAGAAGACAACATTCAGACGCAAACACCATCATCTAAAATTATATACACACAGCTACACAAGTAATTGTGCAAGTGTGTGAATGTGTGTGTGTGCATTTTTTCACGGGGCAGGAAGTCAGGCAACAGTAAAAAAGTTACACTAACTAAAAACTGTAAAAAGAACGAACGAAACTAAACAACACTAAAATGTGCAATAGTATACATAGACGAGGGCGGTGTGAAAAGTCCTTTAAAAAACGACACTTCTATCCACTTCTAGTTCATTTCTAGTTCAGTTCTAGTTCAGTTCTAGTTCAGTTCTAGTTCAGTTCTAGTTCAGTTCTAGTTCAGTTCTAGTTCAGTTCTAGTTCAGTTCTAGTTCAGTTCTAGTTCAGTTCTAGTTCAGTTCTAGTTCAGTTCTAGTTCAGTTCTAGTTCAGTTCTAGTTCAGTTCTAGTTCAGTTCTAGTTCAGTTCTAGTTCAGTTCTAGTTCAGTTCTAGTTCAGTTCTAGTTCAGTTCTAGTTCAGTTCTAGTTCAGTTCTAGTTCAGTTCTAGTTCAGTTCTAGTTCAGTTCTAGTTCAGTTCTAGTTCAGTTCTAGTTCAGTTCTAGTTCAGTTCTAGTTCAGTTCTAGTTCAGTTCTAGTTCAGTTCTAGTTCAGTTCTAGTTCAGTTCTAGTTCAGTTCTTGTTCAGTTCTAGTTCAGTTCTAGTTCAGTTCTAGTTCAGTTCTAGTTCAGTTCTAGTTCAGTTCTAGTTCAGTTCTAGTTCAGTTCTAGTTCAGTTCTAGTTCAGTTCTAGTTCAGTTCTAGTTCAGTTCTAGTTCAGTTCTAGTTCAGTTCTAGTTCAGTTCTAGTTCAGTTCTAGTTCAGTTCTAGTTCAGTTCTAGTTCAGTTCTAGTTCAGTTCTAGTTCAGTTCTAGTTCAGTTCTAGTTCAGTTCTAGTTCAGTTCTAGTTCAGTTCTAGTTCAGTTCTAGTTCAGTTCTAGTTCAGTTCTAGTTCAGTTCTAGTTCAGTTCTAGTTCAGTTCTAGTTCAGTTCTAGTTCAGTTCTAGTTCAGTTCTAGTTCAGTTCTAGTTCAGTTCTAGTTCAGTTCTAGTTCAGTTCTAGTTCAGTTCCAGTTCAGTTCTAGTTCAGTTCTAGTTCAGTTCTAGTTCAGTTCTAGTTCAGTTCTAGTTCAGTTCTAGTTCAGTTCTAGTTCAGTTCTAGTTCAGTTCTAGTAGTTCAGTTCTAGTTCAGTTCTAGTTCAGTTCTAGTTCAGTTCTAGTTCAGTTCTAGTTCAGTTCTAGTTCAGTTCTAGTTCAGTTCTAGTTCAGTTCTAGTTCAGTTCTAGTTCAGTTCTAGTTCAGTTCTAGTTCAGTTCTAGTTCAGTTCTAGTTCAGTTCTAGTTCAGTTCTAGTTCAGTTCTAGTTCAGTTCTAGTTCAGTTCTAGTTCAGTTCTAGTTCAGTTCTAGTTCAGTTCTAGTTCAGTTCTAGTTCAGTTCTAGTTCAGTTCTAGTTCAGTTCTAGTTCAGTTCTAGTTCAGTTCTAGTTCAGTTCTAGTTCAGTTCTAGTTCAGTTCTAGTTCAGTTCTAGTTCAGTTCTAGTTCAGTTCTAGTTCAGTTCTAGTTCAGTTCTAGTTCAGTTCTAGTTCAGTTCTAGTTCAGTTCTAGTTCAGTTCTAGTTCAGTTCTAGTTCAGTTCTAGTTCAGTTCTAGTTCAGTTCTAGTTCAGTTCTAGTTCAGTTCTAGTTCAGTTCTAGTTCAGTTCTAGTTCAGTTCTAGTTCAGTTCTAGTTCAGTTCTATTCAGTTCTAGTTCAGTTCTAGTTCAGTTCTAGTTCAGTTCTAGTTCAGTTCTAGTTCAGTTCTAGTTCAATTCTAGTTCAGTTCGTTCAGTTCTAGTTCAGTTCTAGTTCAGTTCTAGTTCAGTTCTAGTTCAGTTCTAATTCAGTTCTAGTTCAGTTCTAGTTCAGTTCTAGTTCAGTTCTAGTTCAGTTCTAGTTCAGTTCTAGTTCAGTTCTAGTTCAGTTCTAGTTCAGTTCTAGTTCAGTTCTAGTTCAGTTCTAGTTCAGTTCTAGTTCAGTTCTAGTTCAGTTCTAGTTCAGTTCTAGTTCAGTTCTAGTTCAGTTCTAGTTCAGTTCTAGTTCAGTTCTAGTTCAGTTCTAGTTCAGTTCTAGTTCAGTTCTAGTTCAGTTCTAGTTCAGTTCTAGTTCAGTTCTAGTTCAGTTCTAGTTCAGTTCTAGTTCAGTTCTAGTTCAGTTCTAGTTCAGTTAGTTCAGTTCTAGTTCAGTTCTAGTTCAGTTCTAGTTCAGTTCTAGCTAGTTCAGTTCTAGTCGTTCAGTTCTAGTTCAGTTCTAGTTCAGTTCTAGTTCAGTTCTAGTTCAGTTCTAGTTCAGTTCTAGTTCAGTTCTAGTTCAGTTCTAGTTCAGTTCTAGTCAGTGTAGTTCAGTCTAGTTAAGTTCCTAGTTCAGTTCTAGTTCAGTTCTAGTTCAGTTCTAGTTCAGTTCTAGTTCAGTTCTAGTTCAGTTCTAGTTCAGTTCTAGTTCAGTTTCTGTTCAGTTCTAGTTCAGTTACTAGTTCAGGTTCTAGTTCAGTTCTAGTTCAGTTCTAGTTCAGTTCTAGTT